AACTGTATAAACCACAGATGGGCTCTGTGCGTGCTGAACAGACATAAATGTACCTGAGCAGGCATCTGCAACAGGGATTGACTAGCCGACCTAGTAGACATGCACTCTCGGATACGTGTGGTCAGCCTTCTAATTAATACATGGGAGAAAATATTATATAGGAAAAAAGTGTCGCTGCTCACACTGGAGTTTGAACACAGATCACCAGAGCCCAAACACAGGCGATCCCATTTTGAATAAGTAGATCATGTGATGGTAAAGGAAATGTATGTATGGGAAGTAGCGTGGCGTCTAAGTGATCACTATACCGATCACTATTCGGTGGTTACTATTCGAGCGAGAATTATCGAGCAAGTACTATTAGTGCGAGTCTAACACGAGTATTGTTCAACGGCGTTACCATAGTTGTATCTGCGATTACAAAGGCTCTACTACAACGAGCATTGCGAAAGTGACAACGAGTATTCGTTGGCATTAGAAAAGTGTCAACAAGAGTTCGTTGACATCACAAAAGAAAATGATGTATAATATTTTTATATACATAGGAGAAATCTCAAGTAATTTAAATAAAACATTATATAAACACAAAAAGGACCTTTTACAAAACAATCCACTCAATGCATAATTTGCTCTCCGTAATGAGTTTTCAATTAAAAAAAGTTAATTTAATTAAAAGAGAAAGTAACTTATCAAGAGGAAAATGTATAGAAAGTGCTTTAATCGCTAGATCATCCACAGTAAATTTGCGTCTAGGTTCTTGCAAGGTTTCACCCGTCTTGATGGATCTATCATCACAATCTGGGATACTTAATAGAAAAAGTGATAAAATTATAAACAAAAATGAATGATATTAGCTAGATTAGTGTTGTAACCTAGAAAAGGTTACTAAATGGTGAATAACCCAAACGGAGGTTGAGAAGGAAATGGTAATCTTTATATCATTAACAAAATACAATACTCGCCAGCGGCGAGTAGGTAAACCACTGATATTGGTGGACTACTTTGACAACACCCCCACTTACAATAGTGTCCAACGTATTTATGAGGATTGGGACATACCCATTAGTGTTCATAGGTACGGTATATAAATCTATGCCAAGTCAATATCTATCTATCTATCTATCTATCTCATCTATCTATCATGGTGAAACACACCCATTCTATAGTTAATAGACTCTCCCACTTATAATAAGTAGGAGTAGTAAGAGCAATGAGTCGGTCAGTCAGTGAGTCAGTCAGTGAGTCGAGGTTGGACGACAGTTAGTCGAATACTAAAGTATCAGCGACCACAACTAGATTACTCTGCGTCATACCTATTATATAAAGTTCCTAACGTTTTGTACGTCGAACCTATTTTAGGACCGACTTATGACAAATACAAGCCTCTACTGCGAAATCACTCCACAAGACTATCTATCTATCTATCTATCTATCTATCTATCTATCTATCTATCTATCTATGCATTGTAACCTATAAAAGGTTACTGAATGAGGAATAACCAAAACGGAGGCTGGAAATGGAATGGCAATCTTTATAACATCAACAGGATTCAATACTCGCCAGCGGCGTGAAGTAGGTAAACCACTGCTAGCCCAACTTACAATAGTGTCCAATGTATTTATACTCGCATCCCTCCTCCTTTGTACGTATGAGTATTTACATTACTTTAGTCCAATAAAGTTTTAAAAAACAAAAATCTTCACCTGAAAAACTTTTTGCACATTCTCATTAAATTTTCTAATATATATATATATATATATATATATGTGTGTGTGTGTGTGTGTGTGTTTGTATTCTGAAACATAACCTAACGTAAACAATGACAACATATTACGTGAAATGGATTAAATCCGACAAATACTTCAATATATTTTCTATTTATATATTATTTTTATGGGTAAAACAAAAGCGAAATATTGAGTAGTTAGATAAAATTCAAAATTTTTTAAAGGCGCCCCTGTATAAGAATCTTTTGGGATATTAGCAATTCTTTTCTTTTTTTTTTTACTAAGAAGATTGTGTTTTTGTTTTCCATGTCGACAATGTGTTAAATTTCTCGGAATAAATCTATAGACAAGACAAATTGAATAAAATAGACAATCAGAAATTTTTGCTTTTGTTTATTATTACTTGCCTTGATAAAGTCAGCCAGGACTATATATATATATATATATATATATATATATATATATATATATATATATATATATATATGAGCTGAGCGAAACAATCTGTCTCTGTGGATGGCTATATATATATATATATATATATATATATATATATATTCTTTATATATATATATGTATGTATGTATGTGTATGTATGTATTATATATATATATATATATATAAATCATACATTGTTAAATATAACATCATGAGCCGTTCAAAAGGTCGTATGTTTGCTGTAATTTCGGGTCAATCACTATACAAAGTCAATATCTATCTATCTATCTATCTATCTATCTATCTATCTATCTATGTGTTGTGACCTACGAAAGTGTTACTGAATGAGGAATAACCAAAACGGGAATGAAATAGTAATCTTTATAACATCAACAAAATACAATACTCGCCAGCGACGTGAAGTAGGTAAACCACTTCTAGTGGTGGATTACTTAGGCAGCATATTACCACCACGTTACTATAGTATCCAACCTATTTATGAAGACTGGGACATACCCATTAGTGTTCATAGGTACGGTATATAACAAAAATTGTCTAAAATTTGGGTAGTTATTTTAAAAAGTTTTAATAAGTTGATCCTTGATTTAATCTTTCGGCTCACATGAGCCATCTTCAGAGTGGTTAAACAAAGATATTCAGCATCGAAGATGATATTTTGTTATTTTGACATAGAAGATTGCTTTGCAATGATAATGGACATGGAATAGCAGACACAGGTTGTAAGTTCAAGGTGCGATTTTATGACGTCATACCACGCGAGAGGCCGAAATATTAATAACAGAACCATATGTCTAGATACAATGTAGTATTAGATACTATTACATAATATTAGACAGATACTGTTTGATAACACAACAATACTCGCACATACACACCGTAAAAAAACCTTCAGATATTGGAGGCAATCGACATTAAAACAAAGCAACACACACTCAACAATAGTAGATTTCAAACTAGTCACAACACATTGCATTGCATTTAGACATATGATTCTGTTGTTAATGTTTCGGTCTCTCGCGTGGTATGACGTCATAAACCCGCATCATGAACTTACGACTTGTGTGTGCTATACCGCGACCGTTAACGTCGCATAGTAATCTTCTATGTCAACATAACAAAATATCATCTTCGATGGTGAATATCTTTGTTAAAGTTTCCGTATAACCTCTCTGAAGATGGCTCATATGAGCCAAAAGCTTAGAGCAAACTTAATAAAAATACCCAAATGTTGGATAATTTTTGTCTTTATTTTCACCCGAAATTAAAGCAAATATACGAAATTTAGAACGGCTCATGATCAGACATAACATACATTCATTGTCTGTTATATTTAACAATATTAATTAATGATATGCTTCCCCAATACAATACATACATATATATATATATATATATATATATATATATATATATATATATATATATATATATGAAATTTCCCCCCGTTCCGTAACTTAGTGTTCACAAGGGAATGGGTTTTGCTCTCCTAATGCTAGTTTCTTTTTTATATTTATTGTATTGTTTGACTGTGTCAGCTGGCACATGATTGATTAAACTCAGCTAATAATGTCCAACACCTGATATTCTGTAAAAATGTCGACAGTGAAAAAGTTAGAAAAGAGACGAAGAGTTAAAAAAAAAGAAAATAAAAAGACAAGAACAAGTGGGGAAAATGAAAATAAAAGAAATTACTTATTCTCATTAATCTTAGATGTATTAACATTTCGACTATTTTTACAGTGACACTGAGCGGAACACAGACAGATGGACAGCTGCACACACGGACACGTAGAAAGGACGGAGTTAATTCAGTTCAAAACATTGCCAAGTTATTTTTATTTTTGAAAAAGCAGCACACTCATATAATAATAATAATAATAATTCTTTTTCTATGAATGTGATTGCATGGCCAGTTTGAGAGCTATACAAAAAATATGAAGCCTCGTGGACAAGACTGAAATGTGGTGATCTGAAACGTGTAACTCCTAGCTTAAGTAACACGAGACCAAATCCTTGCTACCAATGCCATAAAATACCTTATCCACAAAACATTAATCACTTATTGTGATGTTGTGGTGAATATTCTGAAAATGTGATTCACCTGCTCAGTAGTTGAAAAATGCTAGCTCAGAATACAAGAGGCAGCATGATGGGGTATGCTTTTATGTACATTGATTATTGTGTCAAAAGTATGGATACTAAGTTGGTACGAGCATGTATCTTGCACGACAATTAAAGAAGATGGAAAAACCAGTATATTTAAGGAATTATGATTTTCAAACAGACAGAGTGATACACCTGTCCGGATATTATTGTCCTCAATAAAGGATTGGGATGTTGGAAGGGAATATCACGGTGATTCCAGTGGTGGTTGGCGTATTCGGATCAACCCCATTAGAATTGTGTGATTTCCCTGACCATCTGGCGATACCATACCAATTTGAAGTCATTTAAAACTGCGCATAACTGGCGGAAAGTAGTGTTTGTCTGAAGTCCTTGTCGTGACTTAACGGATAACTTAATGTATCCAATGTATTCAAAGTCGTACACTGTATGACAAAGCATAATAATATATATCGCTGATTTGGTATGACTAGATGGAAGTATATGATGAAAGATGTCCGTTTGAAATACGGAAAAGATAATAATAATAATAATAATAATAATAATAATAATAATAATAAACAAAATGCAACCGGCCAGATACAGAAACGATAGCAAGATAAACCGCTTCACGGTCAATACTCTGCCCGTAACAAAAAAAAGCTGATGTAGACAAAACCTCGTACCCATCAGTGGCTACGTTGTGCGGGGTTAAAAGCTGAAACCTAAAGTTTTATCTTTGCTGAACAGGACCAATGCTTGTTTACTAGAAATTATCAAGCACACATACTATAAAATTGTGTTAGCCAAAAATGCAAATTGTGTGATAAATATCTTTGAAGATCTTCAAAAACACTGTTCCAAGATTGTTCGGAATTTTGGAAGGGAATGAGAATGTCAAGATGATTCCAGGGATGATTAGCGCATTCGGATAATCCCATTAAAACTGTCTGACTTCATGAACCAGCTGGGGATACTATAGCAATTTGGAATTATCTAAAAATCGGATCTTTGTGGCATAGCGTATATTTGAAGGAAAGTTTTGTCTGTTTGAAGTTCTTGTTGTGACTTAACGGATAACTTAATGTATCCGATGTATTCAAAGTCGTACACTGTATGACAAAACATAATAATATATATCGATATCTGAGTTCGTATGACTAGATGGAAGTATATGATGAAAGATGTCCGTTTGAAAAAGAAAACATTCGAAAGAAGAAAAACATAATGATAATAAACAAGCGTCATGATATGGTACCCTATTACCTACATTGATTTTTGTATCAAAAATATACCAAGTTGCAGAAAATTGGTACGAGATTGTAGAGTATTTCCAAGTGTAGTATAGATGTGGCACAAGACCGAAAGTATTGGGCACCCAGTGAAGATCGAACTCACTTCTCAGTCATAATCGTTCAGACAAGTTTGCTAACCATTACACCACCTCGAGGTGACCGGGTATGAGCTTGTAATTGAAGAATTTGGAAAACCCAGCATATTTAGGGACTTATGATTTTCAAACAGACAGAGTGATACATCATTGACTGAGAAAATTATAAACTACATTGATTTGAAAGTTGAATGAGATGATTGTATTGGAATGATGGAAGGGAATATCACGGTGATTCTAGGGGTGATTGGTGGATTCGGACCAAATCCATTAGAATTGTGTGATTTCCCTGACCATCTGGCGATACCATACCAATTTGGAGTCATCTAAATCGCGACTCTTTGGGGCACTGCGCATAATTGGAGGAAAGCGTTGTTTGTCTGAAGTCCTTGTCGTGACTTGATAATTAACATAATAAAGCCGGTGTATTCGAAAACTGTGTGACAAATAATAATAATAATAATAATAATAATAATAATAAAAATGATTATTAAATAAAATACCTAATATATAAAACATCAAACACTTCAGAATGTATGTTTGGTGGTGAACACTCTTATAATATGATTCATCTGGTCAGTGGTTGGAAAATTCTATCTCAAAAAGATGATAAGGTATGATCTTTTATACATGGGTTATTGTATCGAAAGTATGGATACTAAGTTGCAGAAAATTGGTACCAGCATGTACCTTGCACAACAAATGAAGGAGATGGAAAGCCCAGGATATTTAAGGAATTATGATTTTCAAACAGAGAGAGTGATACACCATCACCGTCCGGACATTATTGTCCTCGATAAAGGCATCAGGAAGACTCATATTATTGATGTCGCCATACTAAATGACACAAATATAGAAAACAAGGTGACTGAGGAAATTACAAACTACACTGATTGGAAAGTTAGAAGGGCAAAATTGTATTGGAATGCCGGGAGGAAATGTCAAAGTGATCCCACTGGTGATACTTAACATGTACATTGTATATTGTTAACGTTCTTTGTTTCTCGATGGAAGACATGTTTAGGCTTTCCGATCTTGACTGATTTAAACACTGTTTAAATGCATTTTCAGGAACAAAAGTTGATTCTAAAATATGCCATTATTTTCCGAGCAATCTAATATCATGAAAAGAGAGAATCTCTGTGGAATTGTTCACTGAATGTATGCACCCGAGAAATTGATGAATGTTATGATCTTTGTTTTTAATATCTACAAGCTGTATAAGGTCTTTTTTTTTTAATCTGCAAGTACTTTAAACTGTACATACAGTCATCCTCAGGCATGGAAATTATTTTGTTTTTAGTAAAATCAAGGCAGCATCAGAGACGAAAAAATTAAATGCGAATTATACAGCTTGTAGTTATTAGGTTGGTGCAAAAATAATGACATAATAATGTCGTTTTTGACGTAAAAATACGTCCAAAAACGACATTATTACGTCATTATTTTTGCACCAACCTAATATTAAAAAACAAGGATCATAACAATCATCGATTGTTTCGTAGGTTAATGCAACTTTAAAATTTTGTTTGCGATTTCGCCATTTTATATCATTAAGTTTACTACTAATGTATTTTTTGTATGAATGATTCATTGTAATATAAATTGAACTGCACCATATATATATATATATATATATATATATATATATATATATATATATATATATGTGTGTGTGTATATATATACACAGGGTAACGATGCACTGTATATTAGGGTCAGTTGGGCATTGTCTGTGAAAAAAACACCATCACGCAATTCCCTCCACCAGAAATTTGGAAACTGCTTGACATATGCAGTAGAAGCTTCAATACGAACAT